CACTGCACTCCAGTCTGGGTGACAGAGTGAGACTCCAACTCAAAAAAAAAAAAAAACATACTGAAGCTGTAACCTGAACTTATCAAAGGATAGGGGAGTCTGGAGCCTTAGGTCACAAAGGCAGGCCTGCCTTCCTAGAACACAGACAGGAAGGTAAAGTTGCTTCAGGTCGAACCTCCCCTAACAGAAATGCTTTGGGTGGCAGTGTTTAGGATTTCAGGGTTTTTTCAGATTTTGGAATATGTGCATTATACTGATTGAACATCCCTAATCTGAAAATCCCAAATCCAAATGCTCCAAGCAGTATTTCATTTGAGCATCATGTAGCACTCAAAAGTGTCAGATCTTAAAGCATTTCAGATTTTCTAATAAGGGATACTCAACCTATACTATGGATATGTAGCAGTTCAAAGGAGTTTGATATAAAAGTAACAGAAAGACTAGCAACTAGATGGCTAATGACTATGCTTATATTAGGGAAATATGCAACCAGAATAGCAAAATAGACACTCTGAGATTTTAATAAAACAATTACATCAACCCAATTTCTCTCCACAATGATATGCATCAGAATGTTACCAAAGAGGCTCTGATTGTCATTAGTCTTACCTTCACTTATGTTCCTTCACTTATACATTTACTACAGTAAAAACATAATGCATGCCATGAAAATAAAAACTGTAATTAGCCAAGCATGGTGACATGCACCTGCAGTCCCGGCTATTTGGGAGGCTGAGATGGAAGGATCACCTGAGCCCAGGAAGTCGAGGCTGCCATGAGCTGTGATTGTGCCACTGTACTTCAGCCTATGTGACAGAGACCCTACTTCAAAACAAACTAACAAACAAACAAACATAAAAACACTGTGGCTGGCCCTTCTGACTAGATTACACTGCATACATGTGTACATTTTACAGATGTATTGTGTAGAGATTAGCACAAGGCTGGTGGCCAGTTCTAGAGAAAGGTGATAAACAGGCTGCAGCTGAGGAATATATACCATCCTGACACTATTGACTGGTCGGAGTGGTGGCGCATAATCCTGGCACTTTGGGAGCCTGAGGCAGGAGGATTGCTTGAGCCTGGGAGTTCGAGACCACATAGGCAACAAAGTGAGACCTCATCTCTATAAAAAAATTAAAAATTAGCTGGACATGGTCGTTCATGCCTGTAATCCCAGTTACTGGGGAGGCTGAAGTGGGAGGACTGCCTGAGCCAGGAGGCTGAGGCTGCAATGAGCTGTGATCATGCCATTGCACTCTAGCCTGGGTGACAGAGTGAGACCCTGACCCAAAACAAAACAAAACAAAAAAACCCACCATTGATGGGAAACCAAATTTGACGTGTCTTTTTTTTTTTTGAGTCAGAGTCTCTGTCACCCAGGCTCGAGTGTGGTGGCATGCTCACAGCCACCATGCCTTTCCACCCCAACCTTCCAAGTAGCTAGAACGACAGGTATGTGCCATCATGCCTGCCTCATTTTTTGATTTGTCGTAGATGCGATGTCTCACCATGTTGCCCAGGCTGGTCTCGAACCCATGGGCTCAGGCAATCCTCTTGCCTCCGCCTCCCAAAATGCTGGGATTACAGGTATGAGCCACAAATGCCTGGCTTGCCGTATATCATTTGGACTGACTGCTGACTCCTGCTGCTTTTTTCCTTTATTTAACAATGTTAAGTCAGCAGTTCTGCTTCTGGATGTTTTGCTACCAACATCTCTGGCAACATTGCCAATCTTCCCTGTCTGACTCACCTGTGAACTTGTTGCGCCCAAGGACTCTGCTTACTCAGGTATATCCCTTCATCCACAGCCTGCACCACCTTCCAGATAACAGCAGCAATGTGCAGGGAGGAGCCCTGGACAGTACAATAAACTCCCTGCCTGAGTCTGCCATTTCCCAGGGGTCCTGCCCTGTCTACTGGCAAGTTGTGCTGACACAGTATTCACATTTCTGTACCTATTACTTTGCTTTTTCCCGTTAGAGTGAGTTCCACATCCACCATGTATTCTATCCACTCTGTTATCTACCCAGCTGGCAGATATGTTATCCATTTTACTATGCAGATTATGGATTATGATCCATAATCATATCATAAGAGAGAACCTGATGTGATAACCTTCACCAAAACTCTGAGTGTTTCAAGAGTACCATAGTTGGCGTCTCATTTTCATTTTACAAAGCAAGAGCAAAAGAAGAATGAAAAACTGTGCCAGAATTAATTTTTTAAAAAGGGAAAAAAGGCTGGGTGCAGTGGCTCATGGCTATAATCCCAGCACTTTGGGAGGCTGAGGTGAGAGGACTGCCGGAGCCCAGGGTTCAAGACCAGCCTGGACAACTTGGCGAGACCTCTTCTCTACAATAAATAAAAAATTTAGCTGGGCGTGGTGGCCCACACTTGTATTTCCAGCTACTTGGAAAGCTGAGGTGAAAGGATTGCCTGAACTCGGGAGTTCAAGATTAGCCTGAGCAACATGGCGAGACCTTGTCTCTAAAATAAATCAAAAAATAAGCCAGGCGTGGAGGCTTGCGCCTGTAGTTCCAGCTACTTGGAGGGCTGAGGCAGAAGGATCGCCTAAGCCTAGCAGTTAGAGACTGCAGTGGCTTTGAGTGTGCCACTGCACTCCAGCCTGGGCGACAGAGTGAGACTCCAACTCAAAAAAAAGAAAAAAGAAAACGGCAGTCTTGGTTATGATGCCAGGTGTGATAACATCATAAGACAAATGACCCAAGTTATTTACCAGGCCAGGGCTCCCCTCTGAGCCCCTCCAGCCACAAGATCCACCCTCCCTCCGGGACCCTTCAGGTCCTGCTTGCTCACCAGGCCAGTGCAGACTCCAATGGCGAACACCATCATCCACTTCACCGCCTCGTACCTTCGACCTTTCTGTTCACACAGGAGGAGAATGATTCAGTTTACAGGGTTATTTGGGCAGCAGGGAAGGAACACACCTGGGCCAGTCAGTATTAGACTAAATTCCACACGGACAGCAAGCACAGTGAAGACAATGGTGGCATCCCAGGTGCTCTACAATACAGGAATGCTGAACATTAAGGAGCCAGGCCCAGGCACTGACAGTGGTTACTACGGTTGGCAGGATAAAGGTCTAGGGAATAAATGCCTAATAGGTGTACCTTGGAGTACCTCGGAGATACTGTGGGTTTGGTTCCAGACTACCACAAAAAAGCAAATATCACAATAAAGTGTGCTATTTGAATATTTTTGGTCTCCCATTGTATATGAAAGTTACATTTACACTACACTGTGGTCTATTACGTGTGCAATAGCATTACATCTTTAAACACATGCATACCTTAATTAAAAATACTTCATTACAAAACAATGCAAAGTGCATGCTGTTGGAATAATGGCACCTTGCTTGACACAGGGTTGTCACAAACCTTTAATCTCCAAATACTGCAGTAGCTGCAAGGTGCAATAAAGCAAAATGCAATAAAAAAGGCCAGGTGTGGCGGCTCACGCCTGTAATCCTAGAACTTTGGGAGGCAGAGGCAAGAGGATTGCCTGAGCTCGGGGGTTCAAGAACAGCCTGAGCAATGTGGCAAGACCTTGTCTAAACAACAAATCAAAAAATTAGCTGGGCATGGTAGTACATGCCTATGGCTCCAGCTACTTGGAAGGTTGAGGTGGAAGAACCGCCTGAGCCCAGCATTTCGAGGCTGCAGTGGCCGTGAGCAGCATGCCACTGCCCTCTAGCCTGGGTGACAGAGTGAGACTCTGACTCAAAAATAAATAAATAAATAAAGTTAAAAACAAAACAAGGGGTAAGGATATTTACTGGAGCACTTAGAGAAAAAAGCTGTCTTAAGACCCATTCAGGCCCAAGAGGTCAAGAATTATAGGACTTACCTTATTATCCATGGTCTCCAAAACTTCAAGGTAAGGGTCATTGATACAGCGGTCATAATCCAAACTCTAAAAGAGGCAAATGTGGGTTAATGTCACATCCAGGTAGGAAGAATAACCAAACCTGGAATGAGCCCAACATCTAGGTTACTGCCAGTCCACGTGTGGATGGGCAGAGTCAGAGCACCTGCAGACCCAGAAGGAGCTTGTTAAATTGCAGAATTTAGGCTGGGCACAGTGGCTCATGTCTATAATCCCAGAACTTTGGAAAGCTGAGGTGAGAGGATTGACTGCCTGAGCCCATGATTTCAACTCTAGCCTAGGCAACTTGGCGAGACCTCATCTCTACAATAAATTAAAAAAATTAGCCAGACATGGTGGCATGTGCCTATATTTCCAGCTACTTGGAAGGCTGAGGAGGAAGGATCACCTGAGCCCAGCAAGTTGAGGCTACGGTGGCCATAAACATGCCACTGCACTCCAGTCTGGGCAACAGAGTGAGACTCCAACTCAAAAACAAAAACAAAAAAATGCAGAATGTTGGCCAGGTGTGGTAGCTCACACCTATAATCCCAGCATTTTGGGAGGCCAAGGTGAGAGGCCTGTCTGAGTCCAGGGGTTCGAGACCAGCCTAGGAAACTTGGTGAGACCTCAAGTCTACAAAACCAAGAAAAATTAACTGGGCGTGGTGGCACATGCCTGTATTCCAACTACTTGGAAGGCGGGGCGGAAGGATTTTGAGCCCAGCGGGTTAAGGCTGTGGTGGCTCTGAGCATGCCACTACCTTCCAGCCTTGGGTGGCTCAAAAAAAAAAAAGAAATGAAGCCGGGCTCGGTGGCTCAGCGTGTAATCCCACACTTTGGGAGGCTGAGATGAGTGGATTGCCTGAGCCCGCGGGTTCGAGACACACCTGGGCAGCTGGGCAAGACCTCATCTCTACAATAAAAATTAAAAAATTTGCTGGGTGTAGTAACGCGCGCCTGTAGTTCCAGCTACTTGGAAGGCTGAGTGGAAGGATCGCCGGAGGCCAGCAGGTTGAGGCTGCGGTGGCCAGGAGCGGCCACTGCACTCCAGTCTGGGCAACAGAGTGAGATTCCGACTCAAAAAAAAAAAGAAATGCAGAACGTTAGAGCCTCTCAGACTCTCCAGCAACAGCACCTGCTTCACCAAGTCCCCAGGTGACTCATGTACATGAGGGTTTCAGCAGCACTGCTTTAGGCTAATATTTTATGCTTTAGGGAGTTTGATGTTACCTATTTTTAAACTTCCTGTTTCTGCAACATAGTTAAAGATCTTCAGCAACTACCAGCTTTATCTAACTTACTCCACTAGATGTGAACAAAAGTTTCAATTAACTAGAACCAAATTAATTTAGAAAGTCAGTTAATTATAATTACCTTTTGTTAGTTCCTATGAAAATGAGGTTAGCCACAAGACCAACCAATATGGAGACTATTTTTTTTTTTTTTTTTTTTTGAGTTGGAGTCTCACTCGGTGGCCCAGACTGGAGTGCAGTGGCCACTCCCGGCCACCGCAGCCTCGTCTGCTGGGCTCCGGTGATCTTTACGTCTCAGCCTTCCGAGTAGCCAGAATTACAGGCGTGCGCTACCATGCCCGGCTGATTTTTTGATTTATTGTAGAGATGAGGTCTCGCTGCCCAGGCGGGTCTCGAACCCACGGGCTCAGGCAATCCACTCACCTCAGCCTCCCAAAGGCGCGGGATTACAGGCTGAGCCACCGAGCCCGGCTGAGACTATTTTTAAAAGCAACTTCTAGCTTATGTTAGGAAGAGGCAGATTCAGCCTAGCTCCTTAAACGTCTAAAGCAGCGTTCCTGACACACACTTCACAGGATACAGATAGCCTGCGGACAATTTGCAGGTGTACCACATGCATCTGGAGAATCAGTTCCAAGGAAATCATCTTACTTCTATGTCTTGTAAGAGAAGCAGCAGTGTGGCAACAAAGAAAAACTGCCGTGTACACTCCTCTTCCCATAACCTGTTCCTACCCACCCAAGTAACAGGTGGACATTGGCCAGGTGGCCACTTCCAATAGTTTCATGTCAGCCAAACACACGTGATATGTGACAATTTACTCCGTCTATATGACTACCTACAGTAAGTCCAAATTCCTTTCTTATGAGTCCAGGAGTATCAATAGCTGACTGATTAAGTCAGTTATAATCTAATAATAGAAGACTGCATAGCAATGAGGAACTTACACTAAGTCTTTATGGACAGATAAGGAAGATATCCAAAAATTATTGAACAGAGGAAACAAGCCAGGTGCAGTGGCTCATGCCTGTAATTCCAGCACTTTGGGAGGCGGAGGTGAGAGGATTGCTTGAGCTCAGGGGTTTGAAACCAGCCTAGGCAACATGGCGAGACCTCATCTCTACAATAAATCAAAAATTAGCCTAGTGTGGTGGCGCACACCTGTAATCCCAGCTACTTGGAAAGCTGAGGCAGAAAAATTGCCTGAGCACAGCAGGTCAAGGCTGCGGTGGCTGCAAGTGTTCCACTGCAATCCAGCCTGGGAGATAGGGAGAGATCCAGACTCAAAAAAAAAAAAATAATAAATGTGTCAACTCAAAAGTATAATATAAATCCCATTTGATAAAAATAGGATTATCTGTATGTCAGCATTCATAATACAACAATATCTGGGAAGACACCTGTGAGGTGGAGTTTAAGGAGATGTTCATATCTGGGTGTTGTCTGAAATTCACAATTTAAAAAAAATTATCTTGCTGGGTGGGGTGGCTCAAGCTTATAATTCCAGCACTTTGGGAGGCCAAGGCAGGAGGGCTGCCTGAGACCAGGGTTTCGAGATCAGCCTGGGCAACTTGGTGAGACTTTGTCTCCACAATAGATCAAAAAATAAACCAGGTGTGGTAGCACGCTACTTGGAAGTTCCAGCTACTTGGAAAGTTACTCTACTTGAAAGGTTGAGGTGGAAAGATCGTCTGAGCCCCACAGGTGGAGGCTGCAGTGGCTGTGAGTGTACCACTATTTTTTCTCATGAGGGAGGACTAAACCTGACCTTTTTTTTTCTCTTACCCAAATTTCTTTTCTTTTTTTTTTTTTTTTTGAGTTGGAGTCTCACTCTGTTGCTAGAGTGGCATGCTCACAGTCACCACAGCCTTTACCTGCTGGGCTCAGGCGATCCTTCAGTTTCAGCCTTCCAAGTAGCTGGAACTGCAGGCATGCATCACCATACCCAGCTAATTTTTCTTTTTTAATTGAAGAGACAAGATCTTGCCAAGTTGCCCAGGCTGATCTGCAAGCCCTGGTCTCAGGCAATTCTCTAGCCTCAGCCTCTCAAAGTGCTGGAATTGCAGCTTTGAGCCACCATGCCCAGTCCTACCTCCTTATCTTAACAAAGCATCTTCTCTACAGATTTCCCAAATTCCTTAGATAGGAACTACAAATTACCAGTCCAGAAATCTTTGAATCCACCCATGGCCTGCAAGCCACACTTGAAAACGTTCCTCCAATGAAAATCTCACACGTATTGATTTCGGGTGGCTTGTAACTTCTGCCTTCCCTAAATGTATATAACCAAGCCACTACTCAACCACAGTGGGCACACATTCTCAGGATCTCCTAAGGATGGGTGTACCTGGCTAAAGTCTTCATGTTTGGTTTAAGAATAAAACCATCTTAAAATGTTTTACAGAATTTGGCATATTTTTGTCAATATGAGGGGAAAAATAGACTCATCCATGAGTGGTTAAAAATATACATATGTAGTTGGACTTGGTGGCTCAGCCTGTAATCCCGCGCTTTGGGAGCCTGAGGTGAGTGGATTGCCTGAGCCCGCGGGTTCGAGACCCACCTGGGCAACTTGGTGGGACCTCATCTCTACAATAAATCAAAAAATTAGCCGGGCGTGGTAGCACGCACCTGTAGTTCCAGCTACTTGGAAGGCTGAGGAGGAAGGATTACTGGAGCCCAGCAGGTCGAGGTTGTGGTGGCCGGGTCGGCCACTGCACTCCATTCTGGGTGACAGAGTGAGATTCCAACTCAAAAATAAAAAATAAAAAATAAAAAAAAAAATACACATATGTGCCAGGCACAGTGGCTCACACTTATAATCCCAGCACTTTGGGAGGCTGAGGTGAGAAGATTGCCTAAGCCTATGGGTTCGAGACCAGCCTGGGCAACTTGGTGAGACCTCATCTCTACAATAAATCAAGAAAAATTAGCCGGGCATGATGACGTATGCCTGCAGTTCCAACTATTTGGAAGGCTGAGGTGGAAGGATTAGCCTGAGCCCAGCAGTTTGAGCCTGTGGTAGCCGTGAGTGTGCCACTACACGCCAGTCTGGGCAACAGGGGCCAGTAGGAAGAGCCCCCCCTTCACCCTCTGGAGGTCAGGTGAAGTGAACTACCAGAAGGTAGATGACCAGCAGATATAACATACGCACTCATTTAACATGCACAGCAGGAGGAATTGCAGGAGAATGATTACCCACCACCCCAGGGAGGTCCAAATGCTTCTATACCCTTCTTCATGGGGGAAGGGGAGCTTGGGGGTGGAAGAGTAGGCAAGTTGGGAGGGGAATGAGTGGACCTGGGAGGCAGTTATCTCTGTGTGAATGATTCTCTTTGGAAACTGAATAGGACTGATAGGGAGACCTGCTATTATCTGTCCACATTGCCACAACCCCTAGAGAAAGGCATGGCAAGGGTTCCAGTGCCTCTGCATGTACTCACATTCCTGAGTTAACTCCTGAGCGCTAACAAAAGGGATGTTTCCCTTATCTCCTATACACTCCCAGCAAATAAAGTCAAAGAATCCTTCACTTCCCTGCAGACTGTGCCCAATTAACCCAGAGATCTCATTTACTCCCTTTTCTTAGTAGTCCCAGGTTTGAATAATATAGTATCAAAGTAATCATAAGTCGTGATTTGTATAACTTTTGCAACATGTAATAATGTAGGATGTCTTAGGCCTTGTTAACTCCCTTTATTCTATGGCAAACTTGATCAACGCTTCTGCCTAGTGTTACTGATAAGAAGCTATGCGATATCTCTGGTAATGAGTGCCAGGAAATGTGGACCAT